AAATGCTAATAAAAGTTTCATTACCAGAAGATAAAAACCTTTATAAATCAACAATGCACCCTGCCACTAGAGTACACACACACTTTCCTAAACATGAATTCCTACACAGAAACACTATCTATGGCCTGATCCTGCAAACACTTATGCACATGACTTTACATGTAGGAACACCTCCACTGAACTGGATGGGGCTTACATGTCTAAGCATAGGATCAGGAACTGTGTGCACCATACAATACTTATTGTGCAAGAAGGTGAACCATCAAATTAAATATTGTAGATTAACATTTGTGATTGGTGACTCAGAAGCCACTTGATCTCTACATAGACTTGCCATCCAACAAAAAAAGTTTGGCTTAGGCTTGCCAGTCTTAAATTTGTATTTTAAAAAGCATCAGCATGCTATTTTGAAGCATTGGTTTTGGGTACTGCATACTGCAAGACAGAATGTAATAAAGTACTGTATTATCAGATGTTATAACACACTGGATTTCTAGTCACCTATTGTTGCCAGCCACTTTCATGTTGTGGAGAAAAAAAGGTACCATGTAAAACCTTTTAAAAGTTCAGCAGCTTTTTTCAGTACAATAATCAAATACTCAAACTCTCTGGCAGTTTACCATTTCAACAGCAACATATAATGAAGTAATATTTCAAATCACAATAGGCTTCATGTCTGGTGAGCACAAGTTTTGCAAATCCAGGTCAATCCCTGTCATACTGACCACCTCTCTCTACATGATGGACCCAAATACACCTAATGAACAAGTCTTTATCTGTTTACAATTTGTTCTGTTAAATGAACATCTCCATATAACTTTTAAAGCTCTGTACCTTCTTTAACAGACTCCTGTGTGAACTCTATATTCATAGTTGAAGTAACTCCCTATGATGATCTTCTCTGAATTCCTTTGTGCTGTTGCTGGCATTTTAACTGATTTTGGTATTTTTAATTATGCAAATTAAACTTCTGTACATCCTTACTTCTCTAGTGAATATTCTGCAGAAACTGAATAAGTTAGAATCTGCAATTCCACTAGCAAAGATATAACTACAGCCACAAGAGCTATTAAACATAATCATTTAGGATATAAATTAATCCTCAAATGAGGATTTTTTCCTGAACCCAACAGTACACGAATTGCGTAATTAGGGACATTAAGAGAGAGGAGAGGAAATGTCATTTATTTAGGCCATGTCTGCACTGCCACTTGGGCAAAACTTATGTCACTCAGGGATGTGAAAAAACACACCCCTGATACACATAGTTTTGCCACCATAAGCACTCATGTGCACATCGCTATGTCGGTGGGAGAGCTTCTCTCGACATAGCTACTGCCACTCTTGGTTTTATTATGTCGAGGGAAGAGCTCTCTCCTGTCAACATAAAGTGGCTACAAAAGTGATTTTACAGCAGTGCAACTGCATTGATACAACTGTACCACTGTAAATTCACTAGTGTAGATACAGTCTTTGCCTAAAGAATCAAATGTGGCAAGAGACAGGATACTTACTACAAACCATTTCTGAAATGGTAACTTTTGTGTTCCTAAACCTTAAGACTGTGTTCTGTAGAACAATTACTAAGAGAATTCTCAAGAAAACGTAACATTAAAAGAGATCTTATCTTGAATTAAAGTATTAGGATACTGTAAAGGGAACAGAGGAACTGAAAGAATTAAGTTTGATTTCTGAAGCAATATGTGGAAAGAGCTGCTTGCCTAACTCAAAAAGCCTGGGCATAATACCCAACAGAAAATGGTAATCTGTGTGCAAGGTGACCCTAGGGTCATGCTATTCCTTTCCCCTTTGGTCCCATCTCCCCAACAGGACCCTGAAATTGAGGGGGGCTGTTTGCTTTTAAACTGGAAAAAAGAATTTAGCAGTTGCTTCACTAGCCTGTGAATACTGCTGATCTATAAAAAAAAAAAACAGACTTGTAAGAAGAAAAATAAGTTGAAGTTGTTCATAATGTGAAAACAAGAGCAAAACATATTTCACACACTAGCAAACCACTTTTGTTCCTTATTTATTATGCAGAGCTTCCAAGACTATTAAATATTTGTATTTTTTTCCCCCACATCTAAGGCAGAACTACAACATTGGTAGGCACACTTCAACAATTCACCTAAAACTATGCAGATGTTGCCCTTCAAATATTAAAAATATTTCAAATACAATTTGAAACATTCCTCCCTTACAAATGGTACTCAAAGAACTGGCAAGAGAGAAAGAATAAGAGAAAAAACAAGGAAAATACCTAACAACCACTTTAATGAATACTTCACTGCTACTTCTAAAATACTGCCGGTGCTATTACTAAACAGCATTTACTAAACAATACTCTATGTTAGTAATCTACTAACGTGTTTTGACCATAATATCCAAGTTCATAGAAGCTAATCTGTTTCCTAAATAGCAAAAGCATTCCTTTCAATAAAAGGAGCAGCTGATACAGAACAAAAGACGTCCACAGGAAACGTTATCTATAAAGTTGTCTCCTAATCCAAGACAAATAGACGTGAAGGAACAGGAAAACAACCATGCCCTAGTAAGTTTCTTTTTCCTGAGCCTCTGACAAAATCCCCTTGTTCGCTTGGTTGTGTGCCCTTCTCAAGCTACAAGGGATGGCATTCCTCCTTCACTTAACACCATCGAACTGTGTGCGCTGAGGGGGCAGGAAGCAAACGGGGGCGCGGGGGGGGGGGGGAAGGAGAGGCAAGAGGAAGGAAAGAAACAGAGATCCAAAATCCAATAATCATTACTAAGGCATTACAGGGCACTACACTGCCTGCAGGCTGCAATAGTATCCTTCCTTTCTCTATGTCATGTATGGAGATTCCTAGACATTACAGACAGACATGCATACAGATCCTTTCAAGGGGCGATGGCTTTGATTTATGTCCACAAGACCAGAAACAAGCAGGCTATATCAGACACCAGGGAGGTGTCTCCCAATGCCCTCCATTGCATCTGCTCGCTTTCCCCACAAAAACGCAACTCCAAATAAACGAATAAAAGCAAGATTTTAAGTACTATTTTAAGATATTTTAATAGACCTGACGAATTACCCCAGGCGCCGCAACACCCACCGAAACGTTGTCTCTCTGCGCCAGACAGACCCATTCACACCAGCCCGGCACAGGAACGCCTGCCCCGGCGGCGGCGGCTGCAGGGCCCCCCGCGCCCGCAGCATAAGCCCAGCTCACCCAGGGTCTCCCCGCTCACCCTCGCCGGGAGCCAGGTGTGCGTGTCACCGGCACACCCCAGAGACAGCGGCCAACCCCGGCCCCGGAGCGCCCCCCCGCGCACACCCCATCTCCGGAGCCTGGCCGCTTCCCGACACGCTCGCTCCCGGGGCCAGCCCCGCCGACAGCGCCGGGCTGCTCCTGGGGGCCGGGGCGGCAGGGCAGCTCCACGGGGGGGCGGAGGGGCCCAGGCAGAGGGGGAGAGACGGGACCGGGCGGGGAGCGCAGACAGGCGGGGGCGGGGGCTGGAGCGGGGCACAGGCGAAGGGGGCAGTGGAAGGGGCCGGGCAGGGACGCACGGACAGACAGAGCGGGAAGAGGTCGGACACACGGACAGACAGAGCCGGGCGGGGGGAGGCAGGAGCCGGGTCCCCCCCGTGTGCCCCGCTCGCTCTCTCCTTGCCAGGGTGACCCTTCGCCGGGCCCCGGCCGCGCCGCCCCCTCACCTCATATCTGTGCGGGCCGGGGGGCCCTGGTCAGATCCACAGCGAAGGCGGGGGGCGGTGGAGGAGCCGGAGCGGCCACCGCCTCCGCGATACACACCATCCCCTCCCGCTGCCTCCTGAGCCACCCTCGGGGTGGGGGGGGAGCGTGTCACCCTCGCTCTCACAGCCACCGTACTACCGCGCAACCAACCTACTCCCTTCGCCTCCCACCCTCGGCACACCCCAGCTACAACCCGCCCCTCTCAGAAGATTGACGCAAATACTGACCAATCGTAATGCGAAGATTGACACCAAGACAAAGGCTACCCGTAGCGTATAGGGCAGAGCAACCAATCATAAATACCCCTCGCACTATCAAGTTAGTGTGTACAGGACACAGGGTTGTATGACCTCCCCCCTACTAACAGGGCTAGCGGGGATCCCTCTTTTTGTTTCGTGGGTAAATTAGGGGACCAATCAGACGCGCTCCAAGGGGAGAGGAGGTGGGGCCAAGAGTTGGCAGGGCTGTGTCAGTTTGCATGAATGGAACCCTAAGACTCGGCACTGGGCTTTAATCCGCAGACATGTCCCCGCGCTCGCGCTGCAGTGCTAGCACCTTCGAGCAGCAAGCCGACAACTGAGGAGGGCCCGCGTTGCATGCTGGGAGTTGTAGTCCGATCGGAGCCGCAAGGCCTGCTGGGAGTAGTGGTCTCGCGGATCCTGCCTAGGTGCTTTGGGTACGGCTCGCGGTGTGGCCCCACCCCGTTCACCTAGAGTGACCAATCGCGAGTCTCTCCTGCTGACCAGTCTCGGAGTGTCCGCGGAAGCTAAGGTCAGAGGGCGGGGCTTGCACAGCGGTCCTTGCAGGAGCCGGAGAGGGGGCTGCGGAGGTGAGAGCGACGGAAGTCACTCACGATTTGCCATGGCAACCGGGGTCTGCCTCGGGCCCGGGGGTCGCTGCCCCAGGCGGGGAGTGAGATCCGGCCCTGTCTGTGCCACCCCCACGCGGCGCCAGCCCCGCAGCGCCATTACCCCCTCTCCCGCCCCCCCCGCGGCGCCAGCCCGTCCCCCGCCACCCCCGGCTCTCGCTCGCGTCCTTGTTTTGTTGAGACCCGGCATCGCCTCACCACGTTCAAAAATCATGACTCGGACCCGCCCCCTCCATCAGGGGACGTGCTTAACTACCCCCCCCCCCCGCAGTTCTAGACGCCAACAAACACCAGGGGGGTTCCGGGTCGTCAGATTCCCTGTTTTCAGGCTTTCCTTGAGGGCTGCGAGCAGTGGGAAATTTACTTTTAAAAAGCCGGAGGCTGAGAGTCTGCTATAATCCCGTGATTCCAGGAGCTGGGGCTTTAAGAAAGACACCAAGTGTCACCAGAGCTGCAACACTGGACGAGTGGTGTCCCTTAAACCAGGAAACACAACACCACTGACAATCCAGTTTTAATAATAAAGGTAACCTAACACTGAAATTGGTATTTTTTGACAGTATTTATCATTAAATCATTGTACTGACTAAGGGCCTTATCTTGGGAATACTAGTACACTTAAATAACTGTACAGGTGAGGAGTCCCATTGAGTTCAATGCTTTTTTTACTTGCATGAAGATATGTGTGTGATTTCATTTGGGCTCCGCACAAGCACAGCAGAATTCCTGTTTGCAATGAATTGTGGAATTGGGGCAGTTGTGTATAGTCTGAAAAAAAAATGGGCTTATCATAAATAATTCTCCCAAACATGAGAAGGTCTTTCCCTCTGACATGTAGGATCCAGTCTGTGCGAGAGATAAACAAATCTTTGTCCTATGTTTCTCTCCTCCTTTCCACTCAAGACAACACATTTCACCAAAAGAATGAGAAAACTTTCACCTGTTCAATCAAGGTAAAAGGCATTGCAGTGCATCCACACTATGAAAAAGGTTGTGGTTAGATCAGTTAACACACACTGACCTCACTTCAACCCCTATTTCTAGTATAGGCAAGCTTGATGTTTTCATAACTTGCACTAGTACTGTTGTTCTGTACATTGTATTTGTCCGAGTTAAAAACTGATCCTGCACTCATTGAATTCAGTAGCAAACTTACCATTAACTTCATTGGGAGCAGGGTTATTTTCTACTCCTGCTGTGTATCTTAAACTTTTGCTCTAGATGAACAAAGATGCTTAAAGTCTTTGCTACTAAATCAATTTACAAGTGCTACATATATTACAATTTGGTTATTTTAGATTTCTCTGTATGCTATTTCAGGTCACTATGAAGGCTCTGTATTGTCAGCAGAATTCAGCTGGAGAGGAAATTGCATTTGTCTTCCAGGAAAGGGTGAGTTCAGATTACAGAAGAACTGTTAATCATGTGCTGAGAGAAGGGAATATGTTCCTGTGTGGATCAATTATTAAGCATCTTTCATCTGTTTTACTTTCTCACGGCTATGTTCTCATATCTGCATGTAAAACTATCCAAGTGTCAAAATGAAACTATTTATCTTAGATAAGAATTGTCAATCTACTGCATTGGGTTAGTAGTGGTGAACCATATTAGCTGAGGCACCTGGACAGAGGGATGTGGTGGGAGGGATGGTTGTAGTGTAAATAAAAATTAAAAAAGCAACTAACAACATATATACTATTTTGCTTCTATGTTATTTGTCTGCTTGTCCTTTTAGATTTTAAGCTCTTCAGAATGTGGCCTATCTCTGTATATGTTTGTACAGCACCTACTACAGTGGAGTCCTGGTCCTGACTGGGGTCTTTAAACACTATTATAATTGAATAATCATTTTAAAAAGTAAAACTTCTGTGGGAAAGGAAAGCCAGTCTCCATCTAAACAGACCACCACCTAGTGAGGATATCTTGGGGGAGCACAGAGGGATGTCAGGTGCAGTGGTAGATTAGCCACTGGGCTGATAGGGCCTGTTCCTGGGGCCCTGGAAAACATTTGCCACCGAGTGATGGAAGCCTGGAGCCCCTGTGCCTCGACCTCACTCCCCGACAGCAGTGCAAGGTGGGCGTGGCAGGGGAAGCCCCCAGAAACCCCCTGGATCCCAACCTTGGCGGAAGCCGCAGGGTGGCAGAGGAAGCCCCCAGCTCCCCCTGACTCTGTCCCCAGCAGAAGCTGCAGGGCAGCAGGGGAATCCCCTGGTCCCGACCCCACTCTCTGGCAGAAGTGCAGGGCAGGTGGGGTGGGAGAAGCCCCAGTGCCCCGACCCTGGTCCCCTGCAGAAGCGTGGGGGGTGGCAGGGGAAGCCCCAGCACCCAGACCCCCCGCTGTGGCCCAGGACTGGAGGAGCTCTCGCTACCTGTCATGACCTCAGGGCTGGGGGAGCTCTCACTTCCCGCTGCGAATCCAGGGACAGAGCTGCTCTGGTCTTGAGGACACAGTGTGGGCGGGGGAGGGACAGAAAGGAGCAAACATGTTGGGAGACTGCAGTGAGGGGGGGGCAGAATGGGAGTGAGTCCCTGGGTGGAACGGGACCATGCCCGGGGAATGGACAGAAAGGGGTGAGGCCATGGCCGGGACCGCAGGTGGAAGGGGCGGAATGGGTGAGGAGGGGCCCACCACTTGCTCTGGCCCAGGGCCCCAGGAAACCTTAATTCACACCTGGTCAGGGGCCTCAAGAGAGGTAGCATGGATTAAAGTGGAGGTACCTTTATGGGGATAACAGGCCACCATTGGCCTTCACCCCATGATCTTGTTATTTCCAAATAATGAATGAGGAAGAGCGCCAGGATCAGCCTCCCCAAAGAGGCACACACCACCTCATCTGTTTCTTGTTCTTATGAGAGAGTGGTATGTTTTCTACATCTCTATAAAAACTACATTGTTTGTATTGTGGTAGTGACCAGTGGCCCCAGTTAGAAATAAGGACCCCATTGGGCTAGGCACACCTAACTGAAAGACAGACCCTGCCCCAAAAGTTTACAGGCTAAGTTTAGTATATTTTTAAATATAAATTTGCTTTATTTGGAAACCCTTTGGCTTCAGAAAAAGTTATGATTGTTTAATTGAGTTAGATTATCTTTTTTGAACAGTCTCGTGGCTTAGCAGTAGTTCTCTGCACATCAAAGAGGGAGAACCCGGTTTGGTTGTTGAGCTGGCATCTTCCTCCCCCAGATTAGCAAAAAGCCTTGCAATTTGGACCTGTGGGATGATCTTGAGTAACTAAGCAAGAGCCAGAGAAAGTTCAGCTCAGTCTTCCTCAGAAAAAAAGTTGTTGGTCAGTCTAATGGATAAGCCCAGGGGAAAAATTAAAGCAGAGAACATTTTAAGGAAAATCTAAACACTCTAGTGGAGGGATCGGCAACCTTTGGCATGCGGCCCATCAGGGAAATCCGCTGGCGGGCCGGGACAGTTCGTTTACCTGCAACGTCCGCAGGGTCAGCTGATCACAGCTCCCACTGGCCACGGTTCACTGTTCCAGGCCAATGGGAGCTGCGGGAAGCGGTGGCCAGCACATCCCTCTGCCCACAGCGAACCGCGGCCAGTGGGAGCTGCAATCAGCTGAACCTGCGGACGCTGCAGGCAAACAAACTGTCCTGGCCCGCCAGCGGATTTCCCTGATGGGCCGCTTGCCAATCCCTGCTCTAGTGAAATCCTAGGCCTAATGAAGTCAATGGCAAAACTCCTGTTGACTTCAATGGGACCAGAATTTCACTTCCAATCTGAGGTGCTAAGGAGGACATCCTGGGTGGAATGTGATGGGAGGGGCTGGACCTTTTAAACAACTGAACTTTTCCTGTTGTAATACATGGTGACTATCCTTTGTGGAGCCTAAAATTGTAATCCTTACTTGTGCAGATAATTCTTTTGACTTTAGTTGGGCTACTTGCATGTGACTACTCTCATGGTTAGGCCCAGTCCTGCCACACTTAACACTTGAGTCTTAAAAAATTCTAGTCTTAAGATTCTCCCCATTTACTTCAAAATTGTTCCATTTTGCTTGCTTTTTCTTTAGCTTACATTAGACAGATGTAAAGGAATAGCATGCAGGTTTGTAAAGTTATCTGGCAAAAGAAAACTTACATTTTTTTCCTGTTATCTCAGTAGTGAGATTTAGTAAGGTATTTAATGTTCTTATGTTTGTTCATAACACAAAAGTACACTCAAAATTAAAATCTGATGATATACAGTATGTAAATCCATTATGGCCTGCAGTTTCCTATTTTCCTTTGATGTGACATACTTTTCCTGACTTTTTTTAACTCTTTTATGGTCAGGATATTGGACTCATTGCATATAAATGTTCCCAAGATCTTGCGATCATCCTGTTAGCACATTCTTGTTGTGTTACAGACAATAATGTCTGTAAATTTGTCCTAGGAAAATCTTCCTGTTACAAGAGACAATGATGTGAAAATACAGGTTAAAGCCTGTGCTCTGAGCTGGACAGATATAAAGGTACATATTTAACTTTTATAAGGACATGGGGAATTTACTTTTTCTATCTGAAAACTATAGGCCAGATGCTCAGTTGATGTAATGGTACTGTGCTGATTTACACCAGCTGAGGATGTGGCCATATTATTTTAATTCATTGGTGTGGTTGATCTGCTTAAGGTGTGTAAAAGGTACCTGTAATTTGGCCCCTAATTTTTTGGGAGAGATCAACTTGTCAGTTCTGAATTGTATAAAGCAGTGTTTCCCAAACTTGGGACGCCGCTTGTTTAGGGAAAGCCCCTGGTGGGCCGGGTTGGTTTGTTTACCTGCTGTGTCCGCAGTTCCGGCCGATCACGGCTCCCACTGGCCGCGGTTTGCTGCTCCAGGCCAATGGGAGCTGCTGGAAGCGGCGGCCAGTACGTCCCTTGGCCCGCGCCACTTCCAGCAGCTCCCATTGGCCTGGAGTGGCGAACCGCAGCCAGTGGGAGCCGCGATCAGCTGAACCTGCGGACACGGCAGGTAAACAAACCGTCCCGTCCCGTCAGGGGCTTTCCCTAAACAAGCAGCATCCCAAGTTTGGGAAACACTGGTATAAAGTAATAAAATCATACCTTGTCTTCTGGGTGATGATTCTGTACGCCTCTCGGTGGTCTGACAGCTATAATGACTGTTAGTTGGATTAGGTCCTATATACAAAGCAATATACAAACAATGTCAATGGAGGTTGGATCAGGCTCACAAACAATAATAATAATAATGATGTAACCCGAAAGAGAAAAATCTTACTAAAGACCCAAATAGGAGTCTAAATTAATATAATTTGTTTTTTGTTCATATACATGCTCTGCTGTTGTTAAATATGTTGGCTATACATCTGTAGTTTTAGAAATTTTAACTAATTTAAATGGGAACAAACTTTTATATCATTTTTTTATTTTTTTAAATGAGGAATGCAGCATTTTTATTTTAATAATGTTTGGATCAAAGACCAGATTTTCATCTTTAAGAAACAGAGTGCTTTACTCTCTTTACGGCCCCTAATTTATGAGCATAGGCAATAATTACGTCTTGGCAGGAAAGTCTAACCATTAATGTGATTTAGCTTTTATCAGAAATGAAGATGAAGAAAGAATTTCTACCTGTTGGGAGGGAAATTGCTGGAGTGGTATTGGAGGGTGAGTCGAATAATATACCATGTGATCATCTTTGGGGGAGAAAAAATTAAATGGCCACTCATTTAAGACCACTAAAAATTGTCTGAATTGTACAGCCTTAGTGCCCGGAGCTAATACTCACTTTGGTTATATGTTATTTTTGACAAACTATTAATGGTATAATATAGTAAAAATTAAAAATACTTAGACTGAAATGTAAAACCTGCAAATCAGTTTAAGGGTAAACTTTACAGTAGAATTTAAGAATATCTTTGCGATGTTGTAACTGACATTTGTAAAAGTGTTTGTTGCAATGACTAAGGCTTGGTCTACATATAAGTTTTAATCGGCAGAGCTGTGTTGGTCAGGGATGTGGAAAACCCACACTGCTTCTGACCTACCTATGCTGATAAAATCCCTAGTGCAGATGCAGCTATGTCTGCTGAAGATGGCTTCTGTTGACATTGCTAATGTCATTTGGAGAAGTGATGTTCCTACACTGACAGGAGTTTTTCTGACTGTGTTGGCTGTGTCTACACTAGGGAATTACTCAGCATAGCTATGCTGGCATAGGCTTCTTAGCGTAGACCTATCCTAAGGCCTGGTCAACATAGCTATGTCGGTCAGACATGTGGAAAAAAAACCCACCCGTGTCTCACATAGCTATGTTGACCTAACCTCTGCTGTAGAAACAGCTAAGTCGATGGGTAAATACTTCCATCAACTTAGCTACTGTCATTTGGGGAGGAGTGTTCCTGCAGTGACAGAAAAAACCCTTGTGTTAGTGTAGGCTGCATTTACACTACGGAGTTATGCCAGCATAGCTATGGTGATGCTGATATAATCACCATAATGTAGATATATTCTAACCCTAAGACAAAATAATTTTCAGGAATTCAAGATATTTCACTCACGTGTCCACCTTTGATGCATTGTTTAACACCTTGGTCCTGCAAACACTTATTCTTGTGCTTACACATGCTTTGTGGGCTTGGAGCCTAAGTTAAATAATGTTTACATCCTGAAAATGAAACCTTCTATAATTTTGCCTAACAGATAAAATATAGTCTGAACATGTTTGTTTTTGTAAGCTACTGCTAGTCTGTAGTATTCTCTCAAATACACAGATGTTTTCTATTCTAAATATTTATATTCATGCTTTCCCCCCCCCCCTTCATGTTGTATTTCATAAGTTGGAAGCAAAGTGTCCTTCTTTCAGCCAGATGATGAAGTAGTGGGTAAGTTAAAGTTTGTGTGCTTTATCAGCTAACTTTGTTTCTTGAAATAATTCTTAAATTATTTTTAAGGTTATAATCAATGCTATCACTACAAATAGACACGTTGGTTGTGTGTGTTTTGTTTAGTTTTTTCATATAAGTTGCAACATAATTGAAACATTTTTACTTTCACTATAATAAAACTTTCCTGAGCTGAGTACTATTTGAAGACTTTCTGCTCCGGAAATTGTCTGAATGAGACACCGAGGGACTGATCCTCAGCTGGTATAAACTGTCCTAGTGCCATTGACTTCAGTGGAGCTATGAAAATTTACATCATCTGAGAATCTGCCCCACAGAGGTGCATTTTCAATCCATCAATTTGAATAAATACACTGACAATTTGTGCTGGTGGTACAGATTCCATACTGTGCTATACACGTGTTTTTTATCTATTTGTGTGGACATACAAGGTGGCATCATTCATTATTTTATATCCCTATTGTTGTTTTTTAAAAGTTGCTAAAAAAATATTCATACAGAAACTTTTAGTGATCTGATCTTTGCTGCTCGTCCTAGTTCACTGAGGTTTGTTCACTTTGACATTTTAAATCATTTAGGTCCTGATCGAGCAAAGCATTTGAACACACGTGTAACTTTAAGCACATGAGTAGTCTCATTGACTTCAATGGAATTACTGATTTGCTTAAAATTATGTGCATGCTTAGGTGCCTTGCTAACTCCAGGGCCTTTAAAAAAATAACAGATGGATTCAAGATGTTTTAGTACCGCAGCCTTCATTTTTAATTCACACATTTTGTTTCAGTTTCATGTCTAATTTTTTAATGAAAATGGACCTTTTTTTAAAAAAAATTTTTTTTTAAGTGGATGGGCGCCCTGCTCTGTGACTTCTTATGGGCTTCCCACTAGGGAAACTTACCCAAGTGCTAACCATTGTTCCCCCCAAAATAATATTAACTAATTTAAAACAATCTCCAGGTAAAAAGTTCTAAATCACTTGAAAAGTTTTTCCAGGATTTCCTGAATTTTGAAAGCCCGTTTTCATTATTGGTTTCAAGTTTAGTGAAATAAAATTAATGTTCACATTTTCCATTTACTTCTTTAATAATAAATAATTCTTATGCTTTCAGAAATGACATAGTAATGTACAGTTTGTAAAAATTTTAGATCTGCCTAATAAACTAAAACATTATTTATAGCCCAGTGTTTTGCAGATATTTTGGCCCTGATCCTGTAAAATTTATGCACATAAGAATAGCCATATTGGGTCAAACCAAAGGTCCATCTATCCCAGTATCCTGTCTTCCGACAGTGGCCAATGCCAGCTGCCCCCAGAGGGAATGAACAGAACAGGTAATCATCAAGTAATACATCCCCTGTCGCCCATTCCCAGCTTCTGGCAAACAGAGGCTAGGGACACCATCCATGCCCATCCTGGCTAATAGCACTATCCTCCATGAATTTATCTAATTCTTTTTTGAACTGGTTAATTCTGAGTGGCTGGGTAGTCATGTTGACTTCTGTGGAACTGTACAGGTGATTAAGTATATCACTGAATTGGGGCCATATGTGTTCAGTACTTTTTAAAATTGTGTATTTTATTGACCTTGTGATCTAGTTCATGAAACATAACTGGTCCCAATCATTGAAGGAAAACAAAGCTGAAAAGTACTGTAACGAGAGATCTGCAAGGGTCAAATGAAGCTCTGAAAAGTTATTGAAGTGGTGTGGATAATATTAAAGACTTGACTCTGGTCTTATGCTGATGTATATCTGGAGTAACTCAGTTGACAACAATGGAGTTACACTGGTGTGAAACTGACATCCAAAATTGTAGAATCAGGCCTATTGTTTTTACCTGTATCTGGAAAAAGAGAAGCAGTTTGTTTTATATTTTTCAAAATTGCTATTTGTTGATTACCACTTATCTCAACAGAACCAGAATTACACTCAAGGGAAAAATACACTTTTAAAATATCTTGAAACTATCTTTAGTTTTCTTTCCAAATACTGAAATCTTTTGATTTTCCCTTTCAAAACAACTCTTTAAATTTATATATTATGAAGATGCTACAACAATATGAAGTCCACTTATGAAACTCTTCCCTTCACAAATAAAATTTTGACAAATACATTTCCAAATTGCTGTTGTAATGTGCCTATCCATATTTAATAGATGGGGGATTTAAAGGACAGTGGATGTTGTATAACAGTTTGCTTGCCTATGGTGTTAGTTTATTAATAAAATTGAACAGACTTTAAAAAAGCATAGAATAGTTATGGTAGTGTCATTACTAGACTTATCCAAAACTGTTTAGATCTTCGTGTGCAGTGCCAGTGTGTACTTCTCACTGAGGTTTACAACAATTAAATAAATTGGGCCTGATACTGTAGCCCTTATTTATAAATCAGTCATTAATCATGCAATAAATACCACTGAGTTCATTGGTACTCTTCCCATGAGTAAAGGTTGCAAGAATGGGTCCATGGTCTGTATATAACCATAAGCATACCAATTATTGAATTATCCTCAATCTTAAAATCTAAGAGTTTATACTTAGAAGAGGACTTCCTCCTTTTTCTTTTTAATTTGACTGATGACAGTGATTAGATTAATTAGGTAAAACCATATGCATCAGAATATATTACACAGAGAAAGAGAATGCTCTGCTAAGATATCTTTCTTTTTAGAGCAGTAGTTTAATTGTAAATTCAAGAATGGTAGATTGGCCTTTTATTAAGTAAATGGGACTTGTCAAGGGGGGAATTTTGGCAGCTACTAAACCTGAGCGATATTTAATTAGAGAGGTGTCTTGGTAATGAGTTGCAGTCATGTACAAGCACCACAGCTGAAGGCATATGTGAAAACAGCTTCCTGTATAAAGACTAAATATTAATACCTACCCATCAATAGAAACTTGTACTAAATTGATGTTATTGCTCCATGTCCACGATGCTTTCAGCATCTGACCCTATCTGGGCCCACCTGCGGTGTGAGATCTCTCTTCTTCCTGTAGTGTCTAATGCACTCAGGTAGAGTCGAAAGAAGAGTGCTCATCACAGATACTGCAGAAGCAGCTAGACAACGTGGGAGCAGTGTGAGGTGAGTTCATTTGTGAGCAGACGAGGAACCAAAGTACCAACAGCAGAATATCACTTTATCATCAAGAAAAGAAAATGCTGGAGTACCACTTTGAACACATGTGGCACCATTAAATCATTTGTCTTTACCTAAAGCATTGTAATAATCCAGACTGTGACACTTTCTTCTGCATTATATAGAAATGAGAAAAGAGGAACTGTGATGTAGACAAAGCTGCACTAATGATTCAGCTGGGAACACTCAACTTGTTTCATTTGTAATATACACTTGTATTGAATTGAAGATTTTTTTTTTTTTTTTTTTGCTGAAAAATTTCAGGAATCTTGCCCCTGGATTCGGAAGAGTCTGGTCTCTGTGAAGTTGCTCTAGTTCATGAGCATTATTTGGGTAAGTAGATCATGACACTTGTTAATATTTAAGGTGATTATAGATGTAAAACCCAAAGTAGTCTCTTATAGACAGCCAGTGAGGTGGAACCATTGCTCTGTTTATGCATAATAGCAGCACTCAAATGTCCCACTATCTACTCCGCCTTTCATAGACTTCCTTTGAACAATAGCAGCAATGCCATTATGTTCTGACTAAACTACACAAGCTGACTCATCTCTTATTTCGCCTAACTTCCCTCATTGCTTCATTTTTCTTTTCCCACTGATTTACCCTACCTACCCCACAGATAAACATTTTGAAAAACAACTTCCACTCTTGCTTATTACCGTCTCTCCTAGCATTGACCTCTGATCCTGAATCATCATTGCTTTAGGATCAAAGGAACACCTGTAATGTACGCTAACAGACTAGAGTGGGGTGGGGAGGCAAATTCCAAAGATCAGAAACCCAGGGAAAACATGGTATTGTAGATTACACCAACATTTCCTTCTTTGGGTTCTGTTTGCCTTTCCTGGAGGCAGCATTGTCTAGTGGATAGTGACTGGACTGGAAGTCAAAACACTTGGGTTCCATTCCTGGCTCTGCCACAACCTGTTGGTTAGTGAAATGACTTGCTCAAGGTATCTATCTTAAAGAAATTGTATTGTATCCTAACAATTTCTTTCTATTCTTCTGAATCCATCCATGGAGAAGCAAACATTAACTGCTCTGGGGGGTGGGGTTCTTTAAAGGATAATGTAAACTTGTTTATACTGACACCAAACCCCCTAATCCACTTTAACTGTAAATTATTCTGAGAAAAATATTGTCTCCCTGATCCCTATATATTGGATGTAACCAAGTAGTGTGTTATCTAGGTTAGATCATTTTAAGGTTAAATCCCCTCCTGGTTATGATTCCTTATGTCTGTAAAATAACAGTCACAGGTTTATGAATATTGAAAATAAAGGTTTATTACTCTAACACTTAAAACCACAGTGTAATGGGGTGCGCTCACCACTCTGGTGCCTCCTGCTGGCTGTCTTGAGGATTAGCTCTGTTCGGCAGTGCACCCTCCTCTGATGGTGCCTCACCACCATCACTCCTACTGTAGGACCCACATCTCTCCATGGACCACTGCATCTTCTTCCCCCTTCCGGGGAACCTGCAGTCCGCTGTTCAGCCACTTCCCTTAGTGGGTACTGCAGCAAGTTGTCTGGCCTTTCCTCATGGCCCCAGCATCCTCTTTACCCTTGCCTCAAGGCCTCAGCCTGCAAACCTCAGCAGCCAGCCAGGAGCTGTCTCCCACTCCCCCGGTCCCTGTTAGCAGTACTGCTCTGTCCAGGGTGCTGGCAGTTCTCTCAGCCCTACAGAGACACAGTCCTTCCATCCTCCCTGGGCTCCCAGCAGAGAACTGCCCTCCTTTGCCCTGCAGCTCCCTTTTTTTAATGGGCCTGCTTGGCCCTGATTGGCTGCTCTCTTCATCCCTTCTCTGATCGGCTGCCTCCTGTGCAGCCTCCCTAGGGCTCTATTAACCCCTTAGAGCCCAGTGTGGGGCAGGCGTCCCATCACACACAGGCTAAGCAAAATCAGGAGTTATATAAAAGTGACAAATATGTGCTGGTGAACTATACATACATACTACAGAAGGAAACCCTTTTAAGATTTCCTGTGTTTTCCTGTATAGTTTACTATGTGCAGTGTCATGAACTGACTCACACAGTGTCTGAGATAATCCTAGAGTTCTCCAGTGCATCAACAGAGATATTTGGACAACCCAATAATCACTTTTTTCCTCAGGTAGTATCGTGGGGAGAGCGGAAGCTGTGCAATCGGAGTCTCGATTCTTTTGTTCCTCATATTTAAAAGGCAGTCCAGATTCTACCTACACACTGTCTTTCCACTTCCTCAGGGAGATGAAACTCACTTGCTTGGCATCACATCAGCTATCCTCCAATCCTGCTTCTTATGTACTACAAAAAATTGGCTATTACTTTTTGAGTCTTTGGCTAGCTGTTCTTCAAATCCTTTTTTAGGCTTCCTAATTATATTTTTACACTTCATTTGCCAGAGTTTATGCTCCTTTTTATTTTCCTCACTAGGATTTAACTTCCGCTTTTTAAAGGATGCTTTTTTTGTCTCTCACTGCTTTTCTCCTCCATTACATAAAGGTAATAGTAATATATCGGTAAAAAACGCTTTTGCAGCCTTATATTTTACAGTGTAATGTAATAACATGCAACAAGACAATGAAGAGATATAGGACAGAATAGCAACGCTTGGGGATTCTACTTTCTACCACTATTCTGCACCAAAATGTCCTCACAAGTGTAATCGACTTTTGCGTCCTGCCAGGTGCTGGGGAACCGGGCAGAGTAACAGAACAGAATCACTTTATAAACTAGAAATTCCAGGTCTAGTGATATTTCTTTCTAACGTAGGTAATTTTAAAAGTTCAGTTGAGAATTTGACATTGAGATAGGAAGGTATCCCAACCCAGTTGGAATAAAGTCTGGCATAGAGAACAAATTGATAAACTAAACAGTAATAAGTCACCAGAACCAGATGGTATTCATCGAAGAGTTTTGAAGGAACTCAAATGTGAAATTGAAGAACTACTAACTGTAGTTTGTAACCTATCATTTAAATCAGCTTCTGTACGAAATGACTGGAGGATAGCTAATGTGACGCCAATTTTTAAAAAGTGTTCCATAGGTGATCCCAGCAATTACAGGCCGGTAAGCTGTCATGGGATAAGAGGGAAGGAGCTCTCATGGATTGGTAACTGGTTAAAAGATAGGAAACAAAGGGTAGGAATAAATGGTCAGTTTTCAGAATTGAGAGAGGTAAATAGTGGTGTCCCCCCGCAGTCTGTACTGGGATCAGTCCTATTCAACATATTCATTAATGATCTGGAAAAAGGGGTAAACAGTATGGTGGCAAAATTTTCAGATGATACAAAACTACTCAAGATAGTTAAGTCCCAATCAGACTGCGAAGCACTACAAAAGGATATCACAAAACTGGGTGACTGGGCAACAAAATGGCAGATGAAATTTAGTGTTGATAAATGCAAAGTAGTGCACATTGGAAAACATAATCCCAACTACACATATAAAATGATGGGGGTCTAAATTCGCTGTTACCATTCAAGAAAGAGATCTTGGAGTCATTGTGACTAGGTCTCTGAAAACATCCACTGAGTGTGCAGCAGCAGTCAAAAAAGTGAACAGAATGTTGGAAATAATTTAAAAACAGGATAGATAATAAGATAGAAAATACCATATTGCCTCTATATAAATCCATGATACGCCCACATCTTGAATAGTGTGTGCAGATATGGTCTCCCCATCTCAAAAAAGATATATTGAAATTGAAAAAGGTTAGGGGTATGGAACGGCTTCCGCGTGAGGAGAGATTAATAAGATTGGGACTTTTCAGCTTGGAAAAGAGACGACTAAGGGGGGATATGATAGAGGTCTATAAAATCATGACTGGTGTGAAAAAAGTAAATAAGGAAGTGTTATTTACTCCTTCTCATAACACAAGAACTAGAGGTCACCAAATTAAATTAATAGGCAGCAGGTTTAAAACAAACAAAAGGAAGGATTTTTTCACACAATGCACAGTCAACCTGTGGAACTCTTTGCCAGAGGATGTTGTAAAGGCTAAGACCATAACAGGGTTAAAAAAAGAACTAGATAAATTCATGGAGGATAGATCCATCAATGGCTTTTAGCCAGGATGGGCAGGGATGGTGTCCCTAGCCTCTGTTTGCCAGAAGCTGGGGAATGGGAAACCGGGGATGGATCATTTGATGTTACCTGTTCTGTTCATTCCCTCTGGGGCACCTGGCATTGGCCACTGTCGGAAGACAGGATACTGGGCTAGATGGACCTTTGATCTGACCCAGTATGGCCGTTCTTATGTAGGTGACTTGATTTAGAGGAAATGACTGGTGTTTGTCGTTTCTTCCTCTAGTTTTATAGAAAATGACTAAGGGTCTAGAGATAAAAACTTGTTAACATTGTTTTTATTGAAATGTCAAGTCTTTACAAAAACCTATTGCTTTCTTTACCGCTCTGTTTATTTCTTCTTTTTTACACAGTTCATAAACCAGAAAAAGTCCCTTGGGTTGAAGCAGCAGGGACCATTCGTGATGGCCTACGAGCATACACAGCCCTACATTATCTTTCCCATGTTTCTCCTGGAAAAACTGTACTAGTAATGGATGGAGCAAGTGTAGGTAACAATAACACCCTAAAGGCATATCTTTAAAATAATTTAGGACCAGATTATTTCCCACTCATATATAGTAATTTATAGAGTTGTCAAGCGATTAAAAAAAATAATGGTGATTAATCACATGATTAAATTGCGCTGTTAAACAATAATAGAATTTGATTTATTTAAATATTTTGTGATGTTTTTCTACATTTTCAAATATATTGATTTCAATTACAACACAGAATACAAAGTATACAGTGCTCACTTTATTTTTATTTTTTATTATAAATATTTGCACTGTAAAAAACAATAAATAGTTTTTCAGTTCACCTAATACAAGTACTGTAGTGCAATCTCTTTTTCATGAAGGTTGAACTTACAAATATATAGAACCATGTACAAAAAAAAACCTGCATTCAAAAATAAAACAATGTGAAACTTTGGAGCCTACAAGTCCACTCAGTCCTACTTCTTGTTCAGCCAATCGCTCTGACAAACAAGTTTGTTTACATTTGCAGGAGATCATGCTGCCTGCTTCTTGTTTACAATGTCACCTGAAGTGAGAACAGGCATTCACATGGCATTGTTGTAGCTGGTGTCACATATTTATGTGCCAGATGTACTAAAGATTCATATGTCCCTTCATGCTTCAACCATCGTTACAGAGGACATATGCCCATGCTGATGACTGGTTCTGCCCGATAACGATCCAAAGCAGCATGGACTGACACATGTTCATTTTCATCATCTTGAATCAGATGCCACCAGCAGAAGGTTGATTTTCTTTTTTGGTGGTTCTGGTTCTGCAGTTTCCACATCGGAGTGTAGCTCTTTTAAGACTTCTGAAAACATGCTCCACACCTCGTCCGGCTGAGATTTTGGAAGGCACTTCAGATTCTTAAACCTTGGGTCAAGTGCTGTAGCTATCTTTAGAAATCTCATATTGGTACCATCTTTACGTTTTGTCAAATCTGCAGTAAAAGTGTTCTTAAAAGGAACAACATGTGCTGGGTCATCATCCGAGACTACTATAACATGAAATATATGGCAGAATGCAGGTAAAACAGAGCAAGAGACATACAATTCTCCCCCAAGGAGTTCAGTCACAAATTTAATTAACAGATTATTTTTTTAACGCGCGTCATCAGCATGGAAGCACATCATCTGGAATAGTGGCCGAAGCATGAAGGGGCATACAAATGTTTAGCATATCTGGCACGTAAATGCCTTGCAGTGCTGGCTACAAAAGTGCCATGTGTACACCCATTCTCACTTTCAGGTGACGTAAATAAGAAGCAGGCAGCATTATCTCCCGTAAATGTAAACAAACCTGTTTCTCTTAGCGATTGGCTGAACAAGAAGTAGGACTAAGTGGACTTGTAGGCTCTAAAGTTTTACATTGTTTTGTTTTTAATGGCAGTTATGTAACAAAAAAAAATCTACCTTTGTAAGTTGTATTTTCACGATAAAGAGATTGCACTACGGTATTGTAGGAGGTGAATTGAAAAATACTATTTTTTTTTGCAAATATTTGTAATAAAAAATAATAATATAAAGTGAGCACTGTACACTTTTTGTATTCTGTGTTGTAATTGAAATCAATATATTTTAAAATGTAGAAAAACATCCAATATTTTGCATCCAACATGCAAATATTTAATGAATTTCAATTAGTATTCTATTGTTTAATAGTGAGATTAAAACTGTGATTAATCGCAATTAATTTTTCGAGTTAATTGCGTGAGTCCCTAGTAATTTACTTTTATCAAGGAATTTACCCAGGAACATAGCATTTGCAATGACAGATTGGACTAATCAAGTCTGGTATCCTCTTCCTGTGGCTTTCAGTAGATGATTCACTAGGATAAGAAGGGGCACCCCTAAATACATTGGGCCAGTTGTACAATCCTATCCATGTTGTGTGGGGAGCTTTGCTCTACTTTGACACACTCTTTATATTGATCCCTCAACTGTAGATGGAAGAAGATTTCTTTAGTTTGACCTCTTTCCACACCACCACTTTTCAATTTCTCTTACATTGTTGTTCAGTTTTGAATACCTGCCCTCTTAACTGCTGGTACAGCTGTTAGGTTCACTTGAGCAAAGAACCATCAATGTAAATATAGCTTTGCAACATATACAAGATAAGTGCTTGGAGCTCCTCTCTAGGGAGCATGTCATCCTTCAAGTAGCAACCAAACGCAAAGACTTCCTCTCTTCTACAGACATACTCAGAAATTGCAGCTGCATTTACAATACTTTATACACTGGAGCTGGAATTCAAGCTACAGCTGTTCTGGAAGGAGATTGTTCATCTCCTAGAGCCTGATCCAAAGCCCATTAAAGTCAGTGGGAAGACTTCCATTGACTTCAGTGAGCACAAGAGCAGGCCCCTAGGGATCTGAAATACTTGTCCAGCCATATTTCATTAAGACACCAAAAATATTAAGCCTGTTTCAAGGTGTCCTTCTTTGATCACTCTAGAGCTACCCTTGTAATACAACTCTTCTTTTCAAACTACATTTCATTACTGTAGTTGTAAATAAACTGGTATATAATTTTTCCCGGCAGCCATTTGGTACAATAGCTATTCAGTTAGCACAGCACAGAGGAGCCAAAGTAATTTCTACAGCATATAGTCTTGAAGACAAGCAGTACTTGGAGAGGCTTAGACCTCCTGTGGGTAAGTTCTATTCTTTGACACTACACTTTGTGGGAACAATGATTTGAAATATATTTTTCAATTTGACGTTTTTATTTATTTTAACAACTGAAATCTAAAATCCAAACTTAAAAATATATATAGTGTAAAGGTTTAGTCTAATTTCCTTTCAAAGGCAGTTAACATATATTTTTAGATGCATTTAACAGGACTTTTTGATCTTCACATCCATTGTGGTGTTGGCTATTTCCCAATACTTCTTATCTAGCAAAGACATTTCTATATAAGTTAATGCCTGGTTTTAGTCAGACTGCTTGGGCAGTCTCTTCATGTAGTAAATAACATTGCTCGAGAATAGAAAGAAAATGTTATCTGACCATCAGTAGCACAGAATCAAATCTCTGTACCTGAAGTATTTCTGACATAATCGTGACCCCGAGGTATAGTATTTAGCTGCCTAAAATCAGAATTGAAACAAATTGAATTGAATTCAGAATTGAAACAAACTATGGGGAATTAGTTTTAAATTGTTACAGAAACAAGAGGGAGCTCAGTTTCATGATACTGGTATAATTTCTTTGTCAGAAAATCAGTGAAGTTATATAGTTAGGAATCTAATCCTCTGGAAGTTTGAGCCAGTGTCTTTCCATTGACTTCAGTGGGTTTCGGATTAAGCTCCAAGTGCGTGTTCGTCAATGACTCCTTCAGTTCCCAGTTTGTTGTGACATACACTAGGATTTTTTGGAGTAAGATATTGGGACACTATTCTTGGGAGTCAAAAGATTGTTTTTGATTAGGGATACAGGGAAAATAAATCTAATTTGTGTAAAATTTTTAAAAAAGACAATGTAAGCATAAAATCCTGCTTTTTCCAAAATGTGTAAATTTAGTACAAGTTTCACTTGAAAGGTAGGTATTAATATTTGGTCCATATACAGGAAGCTGTTTTCACATATGCTTTCCATAATTTGTTGACTAAAGACAATAGCAAAACAGAGGAAGTATGTTAAACTGGTGGATTCTAATGTTAATTTCAGAATCAGGACAGAATATGAACATAAGTATGAGCATAATGTATTTCTAGCAGAGTACAGATGAGACATAAGAAAGAAATGTGTACTTATGGTAATCAGCTGCAAAGTTTATTTATATACGTTCCCTGTGACAGCTCTCCTGTGTGTTGATGACATGGTTCTCTCTGAGCCTTCTCAGTATAGTAAATAGCAGATGTTTGATACTGGACAACTTTCATACTCAGTAATAGCAGGTATTGGATAAATGGTGGCGTCAAGTCATGAAAAGTGTTGCTCTTACCAACTACTCATCATTAAGTTCAGTGGAAGCAGGAGGGAAGGATTAAAGACCTGTCTAAGGTACATTGAAACTGTTAGTCAGAACCATATATTGCTTCTAGAGAGCTAATGTGATTGTGCTGGTCAGAGAAGACTTGGTGAACCTTGTAATAAATATTGAGTTTTTTTTTTAATTTCTATAAACTATGGAGGATCTTTGATTTTGTAAAATGGTTTATTTCACAGATAAGCCTTGTCTGCACTGGTTGAAAAATTGTTATTGCACCTTGCCGGCAAGAAGTGGGTTTAAACAGGGTTGTGACTAACACATTTGAATTATAGGCTGGAGCACATTGACCTAAAGTTCAAAATTTATAAATACTCATTGAATATAGCACTAAATGTTCTGTGTGTGAATGAAGTGGTTCCAAATAACTAGACTGTCACTTCACATTTTAGACAAATAACTAGACTGCCACCTCACAATTGGTTACCAATCACCAGCTTTTTAAAATAGATGTTAAATAATTTTGAAATATGTCTGTTACAGAATTTATACTTGTTTCTTTTTATACCATGTTGAATTATGCTCTCAGTCATGGCATCATTTTGATTAATGAATGAAAGAAATAGTAGGGTACCCAAGATGCATCCCCTGAAACAACTGATACTCTAGCATAGTAGTTCTCAACCATAGGTACACGTTCCCCTGGGGGTACACAGAAGTCTTCCAGCAGGTACATCAACTCATCTAGATAGTTGTCTAGTTTTACAACAGGCTACATAAAAAGCACTAGCGAAATCCGTATAAACTAAAATTTCATACAGACAATGACTTGTTTATACTGCTCTATATACTATACACTGAAATATAAGTACAATATTTATATTCATATTGATTTATTTTATAATTATATGGTAAAAATGAGAAAGTAAGCAATTTTTCAGTAACAGTCAGGCTTAAAGGAAGGCCACTCTGCCTCACTACAATTCCTAACTAAGTTTGGTTGTTTTTTTTCATTTACTGACTCTTCTAAATGCCTGCTTCACACCTTCTTCTTCTTCTCTCCTTTTTTCTTCCTTAATATCAAAAAGGCACGAGGCAACCTTTAATTGGTAAGTTCACTTTGCAAATTTTAGTTTAATCTCTTATGTTTTGGATATGTACCTCCAATTTTATTTGTAATTATTTCAGTTATGTTAATTTAAAGTGCAAAAACTTTACTGATGCAGCTTATTTAAATAGAAATGTCTATTTTATTCCACAAGCTGGAAAAAAGTTTAAATTGGCTACTTCTGTACCCTAATTGTTCTTGATTTCCAGCAACTGGAATTGGAGATTTCAGTCTTACTTTCATAACTGTATGTAAACAGCTACTGCAGGGGTGGGCAAACTACGGCCCGCAGGCCGGACCCGGCCCACAAGCCATTTTAAGCCGGCCTGCGAGCTCCCGCTGTCCAGCCGGGGCGCAGGATCGGGGGCCGCACCATGCAGCTCCTGGAAGCTGTGGCATGGCCCGGCTCCGGCTCCTATGCGCTCCAGTGGCCCCTTCCGGCGCTCCAATGGGAGCTGCAGGGGCGGTGCCTGCGGATGGGGCAGCGTGCAGAGCCGCCTGGCCATGCCTCTACGTAGGGGCCGGAGAAGGGATAAGCCACTGCTTCCAGGAGCCACTTGAGGTAAGCACCGCTCAGAGCCTGCACCCCTGAGCCTCTCCCTGCACCCCAGCCCCCTGCCCCAGCCCTGATCCCCCTCCCGCCCTCCGAATCCCTCAGTCCCAGCCCAGAGCACCCTCCTACACCCCAAACTCCTCATCCCCAGCCCCCCCCAAGCCCACACCCCCAACCAGAGCCCTCACCCCCTCCCACACCCCAACCCCAATTTTGTGAGCATTAATGGCCCACCATACAATTTATATTCCCAGATGTGGTCCTCGGGCCAAAAACTTTGCCCACCCCTGAGCTACTGGATAGTTGGTGCAACATAAACCTTATCAACACCTTTTTCTTCAATAAAGCTTTGAAAAGAGAGCAAGAAAGCATTCTTTAACGTGATATTGTGTAATAGCACTATACAGGTTAAAATCTATATAAAAAATTTAATATGTTAATCTTCACAGCATTTCTGTTAGGTAGGTAATTAAGTGTTATCATTATTGCAAGGTTATTTTAGATGAGGATAATGATGCAATGCGATCAAGTGACTTGCTCAAATCCACAAAGCAAGTCAGTGACACAACCATGATTAAAAATTATGACTTTCTGATCATTCCTCTAGGCAAGTTACCCCATTTTTTTCCCATCACATCCCTCCCCTTTCCCATAATGGAACCTGTCCTCACCCCTCTCTCCCCCATCCCCACCGGGAGCTGGGCCGTGGTCGGGGGCCGGGAGCCAGGCTTGCAGGGCCGCAGCTGGGGTTGGGGGCAGGGCCAGAGCCAAGCAGGGGCCAGAGTGGGGCTAAGAGCCACTCGCTCCCCGTCCCCCATGTGGGCTGGCCCAGGCCCAGCCACACCTTCCTGAACATTCCTCCGCGCCCCGCTAGGGGGGTGAGTCCCAGAGTATGGAGACCACTCTTCTAGTCCATATTGCTTCTATAATATAGCTCAGTGGTTCTCAAACTGTGGGTCGTGACCCCGTTCTAAGCTAGCCCTGGCAACTCCATTAAACTTGCTGGGGGCCAAAGCCCGAGCCCCACAGCCCGGGGCCAAAGCCTGAGGGCTTCAGCGCTGGGCAGCAGGACTCAGATTACAAGCCCCCTGCCTGAGACTAAAGCCTTTGGACTTCTGCTTTGGCTCCCCCACCCACTCAGGCTTCAGTCCCCTCTCCTGGGGTCATGTAGTAATTTTTGTTGTCAGAAGGAGGTCTCGGTGCAATGAAGTTTGAGAACCCCTGGTATAGCTAATTACCTCTATCATCATCTAATTTTGATCACTGATAGATTTTTTTTTTTATGCTGTCTTGTCATAAACACCACTATATATTTCATTTTGAGCTTAAATGCTGTTAAATATACTGTAGTCGTTTGGTTTAAGTAAATTCAATCACTGGTCTTAAATAATTTGGAGAATAGAAACTGCTGGACTTCTTTGCTTTGCTGCAATTTTGTTCATAGCTCATTTTAAAGAATAGAAACTCCATTTGTATGTGTTCTGCTTTGGGTTTAAGTTCTAGATTCTTACTGTAACTGACCAAACTTCCTGTCCTGTCTAGCTCGAGTCATTGATGTCTCAAATGGTAAGATTGATGTGGCAGAAAGCTGTTTGGAGGAAACAGGCGGGCTGGGAGTGGATATTGTCCTAGATGCTGGAGGTTTGTAACTGCTGCAGAATTGTTCTGCTGAGTGGTATTAAATATTTTTATTTTTGACAAATTGCAAAACACGTCAATTAAAAAACACACTTACATAATAAACAACAATTGTGTGTCTGTTCTCCCACAATGTGCAAATGCACTTGTGCCTCTGAATGCCAAACCTTCTTAAGCGTATGAGATTATGTCACCCTTTAATGGAAGTATCTGGTATTACTACACAGTCATACAGATTAGTATTAGTTATTAAGTAAACATTTTACTAATTATATTACTAGTTAAGTGAACATTTTACTAATTACGTTACTTTTAAATAAAACTCCTTGGACAGTTATGTTGCAAATAACTTATTTCCCATGGACAATATATGATGCTGAATGACTAAAACTGGGACTTTTTTGATCATTAAAATAAATAAAATTCATCTTCTAAATCCTGCCTGATATCTTTTCTTTTAGTTTGAAAAGGAATCAGCATGGAGGAAATTTGTACTACTGCTGTTTTTGCTGTTTAGTGGATAAAATAAGGACATAAATCTCCAGTGCTGTCATTCAGCACCTTGCATGAGCATTAAAGCCCAGAGTGAATATGAATAAACCTCCTATGCTGAGAATATGACTTACTTTATAGTTAACAGGTTTTATTACTATTTAATGGTAATTAAAACATTTGTGGGACTTTCTAGAAAAACTTCCACTGAGCTCTTATTTATTAAAAGGAATATATATTAATATAATGTTACTGGTATTGCTTCATAGAGGTTCTGCTTTTGCATATATTTCACTAAAAACATTTTCAGCTGTATTTAATCACTGCCATGCATCTGTTTTGGTCTGTATTCTACTACACTGATCTGCAAACTGTGTATCTCAAAAACAGTTTTTCACCCCATTAAAAATACGTTCAGAGTCAATTTAAGACTGAACTGAAAAAACAAGAATAAGGAAAATGTAAAATGTACAAGTCGTGCTTTTCAGTGAGAAATCTTCATGAGATTCTGTTTCTTATATATGCAGAACACATTTTTCTGATAAAGCGGAAACTGAACATAAAATTTATTTTGTTAGGCATTGTACATAATTTGTATTCCTTTTGTTTTTTAAAGTGAGATTATACAGTAAAGAAGATGAGTCAACATTAAAACCGCAACTGCTGCCACACAAACATGATATCATTACACTTCTTAGTGTTGGAGGACACTGGGTAACCACAGAGAAAAACCTCCAGGTAAGGACAAAATACTGCAAGTTACTCTTAACCACAGAGTATTTTAGACCAAATGTCCATAGAACTCTGTCTCTCAGATGAATGGTCTCCCACTGCTAAAATAATATCCATCCGTTTGTGCACACACATGCACAAGCACACAAACCTTGACGTTTACTTCCAAAGCCGCAGCAAGTATTTATCCCGGGATAACATTAATAAATGTCTTTTATTTCTATCATATAACAAATCACAGTGTCATTTTGTATGAGTGGTGGTGGTGTAGAGAAGAAATTACTATAATAGCATGGATACGCTATTATTGAAGGGTTCATTCTATTTGGCTCAAAGTATTGAACTGATTTGCCAGTCGTACAAGTACCATTTTTTCAGAAAAATTACACTGTTGTAACTATTATGAATCAGTTCATTTCTGATAGATTTGGAAGGGTTTTTTCTCATCTTTTAGCAGTAAATATAAATCAACCATCCGGTAATCTGATTGGCTCATACCATTTTCATTTGAGAAAATGTAATGATGTTTCCATTAATTTGTTTAAGTTGGACCCTCCAGATAGCCATTGCTTGTTTCTTAAGGGAGCCACAGTCTCTTTTCTGAATGATGAAGTATGGAATTTGTCAAATGTGCAACAAGGGAAGTATCTTTATATCCTTTAATGGTGATTTTAGACGCTAACCAGTAATCTGCTTGTGAGAGGGGAAAATTACGAGAAAACTACTAGTATATACTCTAATCTAACAAAGCACCTAAGCATATGCTAAATTTTAACCATGTGGTTAAATGTTTTGCTACTTCAGAAACATACTAACCATTGTTTGGAATATCATTTTATGTATATTTCATTATTGCTATGACCAGACTTTTTATGTAGATTCCCTCTAAGTGTATACAGTATCTCCTCGCTTAACGTTGTAGTTATATCCTTGAAAAATGCGACTTTAAGCAAAATGATGTTAAGTGAATCCCCATAAGAATTAATGTAAATGGGGGGGTTAGGTTCCAGGGAAATTTTTTTCGCCAGACAAAAAAGATTATATACATATACAGCATAAGTTTTAAACGAGTTCTAATCAGAGGATTTTCTGGGGACCTGCTAATGAGCTCCCTGAGCTTCTCCTAAAGCAACTGTGTTGATATCAGGTGGGATATTTCCCAGGGAATGCCTTGCTCCTAAATGATGAACTAGCACTCGGCTGAGCCCTCAAGGGTTAACACGTTATTGTTAATGTAGCCTCACACTCTACAAGGCAGCACCGAGGGAGGGAGGAGACAATAGACACATGGCAGTGGCTGCAAACACTTCCCTGTGGAAACTAAACATGATGATGAACCCACGCTATCCCGCTGGAGCGCACCACTCCCTCCTCCGGACAACACATGCACAGCTGCAGAGGCGCCAACTTTCCAAAGTGCTAGGGGGTGCTCAACCCCCAGCTCTGCCCTGTGCCCGCCCCCACTCCACCTCTCCCCCCGAGCGCGCTGCGTCCTTGCTCCTCCCCACTCCCTCCTCCCCCCACAGCCTCCTGAATGCCGCGAAACAGCTGATTGCTGCAGGCAGGAGGCACAGGGAGGGAGGGGAGATTTGCTGATTTGCGGGGCCCGCCAGTGGGCAGGAGGTGCTGGTGGTGGTGGTGGAGGGGAGCTGATGGGGGGCTGCCAGCCCACCCTGGTTCCAAGCCCCAACTCGCCACCAGGCGGCAGCCAAACAATGTTATAAACAAACATTGTGCAACTTTAAATGAGTATGTTCTCTAATAGATCAGTGACGTAACAACGAAACAACACTAACCAGGACGACATTAAGTGAGGAGTTACTGTACTTTGGGAAAAACAGAACAGAAAACTAAAACAAATATTTTGAAGAAAGTAAAGTATTAGGGCCCAGATCTTCAACCAGTGTAAATCAGCTTAACTCCATAGAAGGCAATGTAGTTGTGTTGAATTACACCAGCTGAGGATCTGGCACCTTAAATCAAATCTTGTCTGTGCTTTTAAATTGTAGGGATTACTTGTTCTCCATTCTTCTAGGCATTAATTTTATCATCTACAAACCTTAACTTTTGCATTGTAATGACTAAACTGAAATATTTAATAACTCATTGTTCTAATTTTGTCTTCATAAGGACTGTACTTTAAGAAATCGTACCCTATTTGCAAATTCTATGTACCTACATTCTATTGAGCCCTGTGTGTCTGTGCGCATGTGTGCGCTGCTGGAGAGATGAGTGGCTCTTTTTATAAAAAACAATATCTACCTTTTGTTGCAAATTTAATGATGGTTTTAAGGTCCCTCCTTGTTTCTGCACAGCACTGCAGAACATGAGATCTGCTGAATCATTTTTGCAGTTCAGCAGAATAGGAATGTAAGGATTAAGTCTCTGGATTCTAAAAGGGAGTTAACTACATTGAGACTCTTGGAGCAAAGGAAGTCCCCCTCCCCCAACTAAATTGCACAATAGTTTAACCAAAGTTAAGCACACCAAAGGGCTTGTCTACATGAACATTGATGTGTGGGTGGGGAAACAAGTAATCATGAATATCCTTTTTAAAAAGTTATTTGTTGACATTCCACTTCAGTGCAGCTCTATTAATTTTCCTGATTTAAAAATGACTAATAATTCTGAGAAATACAATTTGTGTTCTTAGCTCTTAAACTAACTAAACAAACAGGATTTATTTGTAAGCTCTTATGTTGGCCTATAATCAAGGAGCATACTTTATTTACCACAAGTTGTTCAAACAGAATAACAGCATTACCTTGAATTGTTATATCAAAACATTGAACATATGTATGTGATCTGTGCACTGTGAACATATTGCAGAAAAAAAACATGGGAAGAGATCCTATGGAGATCAGGTTGAAATGGCTTACATTTTGAATACTAAATTGATTACTCTTAAAATTGAATGAATCCAAGTTACATTTTCTGGTGACTGGCAAAAATACTAAAGACTACCACTATGACTATGCTAGCACTTTTGTCGGTAAAACTTTTGTCAGTCAGGAGTATGGAAAAAAAACGACACCCTTGACTGACATAAGTTTCACTGGTCACCGGTGTGGACAGGGCTATGTCGGCGGGAGACACTCTCCCACTGACATAGCTACCGCCACTCATTGGGGATGATTTCATTATGCCAGCAGGAGAGCTCTCTCCCGTCAGCATAGAGCAGCTAAATGGGAGACCTTGCAATGGCATAGCTGAAGCTGTGCCGCTGTAATGTCTGTAAAGTAGACATAGTCTTAGTAAAACCCTCTTTTTCCCATTGATATGAGTGTTGCTGATTAGTTCAAATAAAATAGATTTCTTGAAAATGTGCACAGCATTTATACACTGTGCATGTCCTTGAGAGTTTAGTAAATCCATATGTTCTGCTTCACGTGTTTTTCTGCTCCCAGACTTGTCTTGATTTTTACCTCAGACAACTAGCTATCCATCATTCATACAGATTACTCATACCAAAATTTATCATACTTACTTATTTTCCAAAGAGTGGGAACCACCATGCTCTGTTTAATGATGGACATTGTAACTAGTGGTGTAACATCATACAGATCATGTAAAACTTAAGTTTTATTTTTAAAATTGTTATGATACAGCACTAGAACTCCTAGGTACTGTGGCAGATCAACTGATGATGTATTTGTTAGAGGGTACATTCGTCTACCTGCCTTGTTTATTTTGTTTTAGGAAGCATAGTTTGTAACACATAATCAAACGGACCTCAGATTAACTTTATTTTCAGTCTTTAAATCATCTCATCTAAGCTCTGACCCTGGGTGCTCTGCACAGATGCATGGATCTGCCCAGGGCAAATCTAATTGCAGAACTGTGGACTTAAAGATCAGCCCCTTGTGTATATATTGTTACCTTAACAGCCCTCTCAGATACGTATCTTAGAAGATGTGATGGAGAAGTTATCAAATAGTATTTTCAGGTAAGACAGAAGTACCATAGTGAAAACAAACTCTGATTAATACTGAGTTTTTAACCTGAGAAATAACTATTCTTCAGAAAACTCTTGCCACCTATACTGTCAACTCAAAGTGCTACGTTATGAGAAAAATTCTACTGAATCATTTATATGAAACTATTTATGGTCTATCCGTGTGGCTAGCCTGAAGTATTACCACATGGAAGACTTGGGTCCAATTCCTGGTTTTTCTCTCCTTGGATCAGCACTGCTTGGAAATCCAACAGAGGCAGCACATTCTTTCCTTGGGGGGAGAGAATACCTTGTGGTGCTCAACAGTACCTGACTGAAGAGTGTTGCTGGCTCTAAATGGAGATCTTTCTAGGCTTCCTCTGTCAGAAGAATGATGGAGTCAATAGAACTTGAGGCTGTCATAAGTGGGAAAAGGGAGATCCCTCACTGCTTACACAGAGAGTGGGAAGAGTAGCCCTCCCCCCACCAAAAAAAAATTCAGGATATCTTGAATTAAACTTCTGTTTCCTGTTTGCTTTACAGCTCTGCAGTTTTTCCAGGGATCCTAGCAGAGCTATAACATTTTCATTTTGTTTAAGGAGTAAAGTTGACATTGTAAAATGTAAAGTCTACAGCAATAGTCTTGGAATGTTTCTTATTGATCTGAGCATGCACACCAGACAATTCTGACAGATTGCTCCCTTTTAGGCCTCAGTTGGATGAACCAGTCCCATTGTATGAAGCCAAAGTTTCTATGGAAATAGTTCAGAAGAATCAAGCAAGAAAAAGACAAGTCATCCAATTCTGAAGCACAATTTCCTTGTTTCTAAGACTGGGAGACAGAGATATGTAATATATTTGAGAAGTAAATTGGTGTACAACTTCAAATAGTTCTGTAGCTAGTGTCTGAAGATAGTGTCTGGGCTGTGAATGTTTTGGTACTGAGACTTTTAGTTTCTCTGTATCAAATCTAATAGAATGATTCCATCAACAACTTTAAAGAGATACCATTAACTTAAAAATCACATCTGTCTGATTTTTCCCTCCTATTACTGTTATAAGTAACATCTAAGATTATTTTGGGGTTAGAGGAAAAAACATTTTTTCTGATCAGTTTTATTTTTTGCATTCTACACTATCTGAATAGTCTGCTTCAGTCTCTGACATACTCTTTTTAAACAGGGAAGAGAAAAATATTAAAATTTGGAAAATGTAGTAGTAAAACTAGCAAAACTGGCAGAGGGATTCTAGGGGTAGGCACAACTTGTTTGTAACAAGGTTGGGTTTTTTTGGTTTTTTTTCAGACTGATTTGTTTTCAAGTTTATCATGTCCCTTTAAGATTTGAATTACTGTTCTACAACCATTTCATAACATCACACTTTTATATAGCTATAAAATTAAGGTAGACAAATGTGAATGAAAGATTACGCAGATATGAGGTCAGTCTTTCGCTTTAGTGTTCAATTCATGTTAATGTTCAATGCACTTTATTGCACATAGACTTTGTTCCTTTTTATATGGCTAAAGAGTAGGAAATGTAAACTGGATTTCCATCTCTGACATCATTCCTAAAACACCTTCTGTGTTCTTTCATTTACACCCTTTCACTTTTGCTCGTTAAGATTAACTAGTCATATACTAATGTTCATGAGATCAGCTTGTCCAACACCATTCTCCTTTCTACCACCACACACACCAGCATCCATCCTCAAGGAAAAACCTACAGCTCTTTCAATGAGGTCTACAGCTTCACTGCTTGTTACTGCTTGAGATCTGAAGCACATTGTACCCAACTGCTCTATTAATCTAAATATCGTTGTCGGAGGGGATGGTTCAAACTGTGAGCACTTGCACTTTGACATCTAGGTATTACATTGTTAGATTTAATCCCGAGTAACAGCATGCAGTGTTGTTGTAGCTGTGTTTGTCCCAGGATATTAGAAAGACAGGGTGGGTGAGGTAATATCTTTTATTGGGCCAACTTCTGTTGGTGAAAGAAAGAAACTTTTGAGTTTACATAGAACTGTTCTTCAAATCTGGGACTTTTTTTGTTTTTTTTCCTCCAGACCTGAAGAAGAGCTCTGTGTAAGTTCAAAAGTGTCTCTCTCTCACCAACAGAATTTGGTCCAATAAAAGTTATTACCTTACCTACCTTTTCTCTCTACTGTACCTTAACAGTATGTCAATTTACCTTGGTATGCTGTTTTACTAGTCACTGGGATTATCGCATGTCCTCAGTAAATCACATAATGCAGGTTATAAGAAGTACGAAAAAAATCTCATTTTTCCGTTTGTGATATAATGCAAGCTTGAGAACAGGTACTATTTCATACAGAACATACACATATAAAATTACTTTAAGGCATTGAGCTCTCTTATTTGAAATCAGTCTTGAACCCATGGTATATTCAGCAGTGTATTATATTTATTATTTATTCTCCTGTCACTTTCATTTCAGTTTCAATGCCTACAAAATAAAAGGAGAGAGAATAGAGGGAATGGAAATAAAAATGTAATGACAAAGATGGAATCGGTTTAACAAAACTAGAAAAGTAACAATAAAATTGCAAAGGGAAAAAAGAATTGAGAGACTTCTAGGTCCTAGAACTATCAGTCTGATTATTTTTTTTACCGTACTCTGTACATTTTGACTGTTGGTCTCATAAGTGGGGGGGAAAGCATTTTGCAAATTGTTTTGGTGAATTTGAATGAACTAGGTCCATTGTGTGACAGCATAGTCTCCTTGACATTTCCTCCACAGCCCCACACACTATAGGAGTGGCATGCCAACACGTATGTCCTTGGAAACTTTTAAAGCAGTAAGTGATGGTTAGGGGGTATATGCATGTCCCTCAAACTCTACATACAATAGACTGATGGTATAAATGCCCCACCCCTTTTAACTATCCCTTAGTTCCTCTCTCCATCAACATGAGCAGTTATGAAATTAATTCATTCTCTTTCTCTATGGAGTGTTAGCTTAGATATACTTGTATAGAGCCTAAAATTAGTCTAAAGCTATTAGTGTAGACTTATGCCAAGTTTTTCAAAAATAGGAGCCGAAAGCTAGGCTCCTAAATCCATATTTAAACATCTGAATAAAGAGACCCGATTCTCAAAAGTGTTGAGCACCCAGCAGCTCCTGTTGTCCTCCCTAGAAAGTCTCTTCCACTAAAGAAGAAGAAGGCTCCTAAAGGGATTTTTCAGCCTCGTCTAGTCTACTAAGTCAGAGGTGCTGCCAGATATGGATTTGGACACTTTCTTGGAGGAAGAACCGGTTAGGCTTCTAAGCTGCTACTTCTACCACAGCTCCTGATGAGGCTGGCTTGACTGCTTTCTCCTCTCCTCCGAGTGCAGCAGAGCCTTCTAAGATCTGGTAGGCAGAATGGCATCTGCTTTGGATATTCATCTAGCGGTTTTGGTCAGCACGACACACTTGCTTTAGTCTGTCCAAAGAAGTGTTGAATTCATCTGTCTCTGTGGCCTCAGTCTCTGGATAGCTGTAGGTTTTTTGACACAGTGATAAAAATGTCTGCATTGGGTCTACACTAGCTCACTCCACAACAGTGCAGTGGCACCAGTGCTAAACTAATGCCAGGAAAATCACTTGGGTAGACAAGGCCCAGGTGTGAAAGACTCCTCCCTGTTCTAGCCCTTTAGATAACATTTCTGCTTCTTTTAGCATATATCATTCTAGTAAACATGTAAGGCTACTGTGTAAATAGCCTGTAATTAATGGCTTTGATATATCTTCAAATAAATCTTTTTTTCCTCTGTATTACTCTTATATTCATATTTTTCCTTGGGCAAGAGTGAGCTGTCTTCCTAATATCTTTAAAGAGATTATCATTAATATTAGGGTGGGTTGGACTCTTCACTGGAATGGAAAACATTGGTGCAGTTTGGAAATATAGTCTAAAGTCAGACAGAGAACTGAAGGAGTGTAACAGGAGCAGATCAAAATAGCTTGTGCTGGTGAAAAGCGGAACCCAGATTCTCCCTTCGAGTACCATTACATATATAACAAGCAAAAGGAGTAGTAAACTGCTGCTACTTAGCCAGTACCTACACAGTATTTGTGGTTGAATAATATAAGAACACAAGTGTATAGCCTCCTATTTTAATATCTGGTAGACCATTTTCCCCTCTACTTTTGATTACAACCTGTTTCCTTTGGTGCTTGATGTGGGTAGGAGACCTTCCTTCTTTCAAAAGCTTAATTGGGCTCACATTCTGCCCATCTTGTTTGAAGCATTTGGAATTTTCCAGACTCCCATTATCAGATAAATATAGCTGCTGCCCACACCATACCAACCATTTTATTTACATATCGGATAAATGTGGTATTGTTGCAAAATAGCATCTTGGTACTTTTAGTGAGTTTTTTCCCCCTCCCAGTTTTGACATCAGTCCTACAGCACTCCCTGTAACTCAAAAGCGTAAATGTATAGACATTGATTCCAGTTTGAAATTGCAAATTATTATTTTTCTCAAAATCATTCTATTTATATTTTAAATTACCTCTTTGTGAATACTTTTTGCAATAAAAGAAGAGTTCTCGCTCTCCCGTCAGGACATGATTGGTGTGAGCTATAGGTGTGTGGTACTAACAGGACTGTGCATACAGTGAGTATAGTATATGTAGGAGTGCAGGTTTGGCATAAGGTACACGTGTGTGTGTACTGTATGTACACTGTGCAGATGGTATATGTATGGGTGGCATAGAAGTGAGGTGCACATATGATGTGAATATACAATGGCCTGGGTGTATGCAAGATTCAAATTAGGGGGTATACTGTACATCTTACCCCCCAGCCACTGTTCCGTGCGCCAGGGTTTAAGCTATAATTCGTTTAGAAAAGCAAGTCTCTAAATCGTCTGGATGCAAAGAAAACTTTCAAACGTGAACCAAATGTTCCTAGTGCGGTGGTGCCCGCCTGCGTTCGAAGGCAGTTCTGGGAGACGTGAGGGTCGCTGCTCACGTCAGCAGCGCGGGGCCCCGGGGGAGGCTCGAAGGCGCCGGTCCGCCCCGGGGCGGGGCTCGCCGCTTTGCGCGCCAGAATTCGGAGAGCTGAGCCCGGCTCCCGCCGCCAGCGCCCGGCCCGGCCCCGCCATGTGCGCCGCGGTGCCCGGCTACTCGCCCGGCTTCAAGAGGCCGCCAGAGACGCTGCGGCTGAAGCGGAAAAGGGCCCGGAGGAGCGAGGCCGCTTCCCCGCCCTGCCCCCAGGCGGACCCGGCCACCGCTCCGCGCCCTTTCCCCAGACCGGAGCGGCGCAATCCCTTCTCCAGCCTGGACAACGCGCCGCGCCCCGGCACCGCCGTACGCCGCCCCCCGGACACCCCCGAGCTGCAGGAGCAGCGGCCCCCGCCGGGGAGCCAGGCCCCCAGACACCCCCTCTGGCAGGTACCGACCCGCCCGCGCTACGGGACCCTGGCGGACCCCCGCCCCCAGGGGCTTGGCTGGGTGGGGTCGGGTTTGCTCCCCAGGCCCCGCTAGCAGAGGGGGGAACGCTAATAGGGGCGGTGTGGTCCAGTGGACAGAGCAATGGGCTGGGACTCAGGAGACCGGGTTGTGTTTCTGGCATTGTCACTAATAGGGGCCCACTGGTCACTGCACCCCGCTGAGCTTTGGGTTCCCCCTCAGTAGGGTGGGTACTGGCTGACCTTTGCAAAGCACTTCGGGTAGGTCTACAGTGCAGTAGATAGAAGACCTCTAGTGGGGTGACTCGCGCTCAGGCGGCCGGGGCTGTACGATGGCGGTGTAGACGCTTGAGCTGGAGCCCAGGCTCTGAAACCTGGTCGGTGGAGAGTGTCCCAGAGCCTGGGCTCCAGCCCAAGCCCAAAACATCCACACTACAATTTTGTAGCCCCTTAATCTGAGTTCTGCCAGCCTGAGTTAGCTGATACAGGGCAGGTGTGGCTGTGCCACTGGTCTCTTACGGCAGTGTAGACGGACCATTCGAGATCTGCTGATAAAAAGAGCTAGGAATTATCGATAGCACTAGAGTTGATTGAAATAACTTTATTTTTGTAAAAATTATGGGAGGTTTTGGGGTGCGGTTAGAATCAGCATTGGTAATTTCCCAGGAAAA